AGAGTGAGAGGATTCAACAGAGACAGAATGGGGCGTATAACAGGCAGACTGACTGAAATACACTGCTGAAAGAATCATTGGATAAGACAGGAGAGGTCTGCTGTGCCATGTGGATTAGCTCTCTGCCTGGGAGCAAACTAGTGAGCAGGGGCTGCTGACAGCTTCAGAGAGCTGAGTCTTAATCCCTTGCACTAGAAGAAAGCTCCCAGATGTAAAGTTCTAACTACAAGATTAAGATGAGACTAGATGACAAAAAAACAGACAAATATTTGAAAAAACGTATGTTTGAAGGGATTGGATTATTTTCCAAACTGAAATTACCAAAATTTGAAAAGGAGGGACCATTTCACACCCATTAAATAACTAGACACAACCAGTTAAGTCTCAGCACTATGAAGCTGTCAACAGCTTGGAGTTTGATTTGATCCCCTAGCCAGGGTGAGGTGACTCCACACCACCTGCTTCTCCCCTCAGTATATTTCAGTTGATCCACCTACTGTTTTCCCTGTCTTGGTGAATCCTCTCAGAATCCCCATTTCTGCCCTACATGTCAGCTCTTTTAAGTATATAAATAAATATTTTAAAACATTACTATTCTCAAAAATTACTAAAATATAGACAAAGGGGGCCTCTCTGATGGTGCCGGGGCTAAACTCTCAGCACTATCAAGCTACAGCCAGCCACTGGCAGTCTTATTTCCATCCCCAGCCAGGGAGCTGACCCACATGGCATAGCAGACCTCTCCTGACATACCTGCTGCTCCCCCCAGGAGTGTATTTCAGTCAATCTACCTGTGCTGCTCTCCACCCTGTCTCTGGTGAATCCTCTCACCCCCAGCACCTCTGGCCTACACCCCAGTTCTGGGGTGAGCCTGGCATTTGGAATACCTTTCTACAAGCAACTGCCAATTCTGAGTGTAAAATCAGTCAAAAAGCTATGCAGAGCTTTCAGCAGCATCACAGGCACTTCTGGGCAAGCTCAAAAGAAGTCTTAGTGGCAAAGATCCCGGAGTTGGGACTGCATCACTGAAGGTTAAGAACGAAGCCAATTAGCGTAAGGATGGAAACCCACACTGAGATCACTTCAGTCCCTTAGGTATAGAAACTACAGCCCCTAACCTCTCACTTTGACTAAATTATAACAGAACAAAACAAATCTTCCACTGGTCGCCAAGACATAAAAAGGACTGAATATACTTACTTTCCTCTTCACATTTTCCTCCTTTATCTCTTTGACCCCAAATAACACTCAAACTCAATAAACCAGACTTAGGTAATTAAGAGAAATTCAGGATGGTAGAAATTATAATCACCTGTCCTGTACTTAAAATTTCTAGCCAAGTGAACTACATAATTTAGAACAAAAAAAGGTCCAATGGTTAGTTTCCGATTTTTTTATACGTAAAGCTTTACTGGATTACATCCAGTAAATGTCTAAATGACCCAACAAACTATCAGACCCAGGGCCTCTCTGATAACTTAGGCATTAGATTTCAGTGCTATCACCCACCACTAAGGCCCCCTGGCCAGCAAGCTAACCCATATATGGGGCAGCAGACCTCTGCCATCTTACCCACTGCTCCCTTTAGCAGTGTATTTCAGTACATCTGCCTATTCTGCTCCCCACTCTGAATTTGGTGAATCTTCTCACCTCCTGTATTTCTGGCTTATATCTCAGTTCTTCTATGCAAAAACAAAACAAAAAACTAACCCAATACAAAATGTAACAAAGACCTGAAAGGATGTTGTTCTAAAGATGTACCAACAGCCAAAAAACATGTGAAAAGATGCTCAAGGGTAAGTCATTAAGGAAATACAAATCAAGCCATCATGAGCTACCACTTCACATCCTTGAGGATGTGACTAAAACCTGAAAATAACAATGTGGAGAAACTGGGACCTCCCAGTAAGTCTCAGCATGATCACTGCTGTGGCCTGAGTTCGATTCCCAATCAGGGAACTGACCCATGTATGGCTCAGCAGACCTCTTCTGCCTCACCTGCTGCTCCCCTTAGCAATGTATTTCAATAGATCCGCCTGTTATGCTCCCTACTTTCTGGTGTCCTCTCATGCCCGCTACCTCTGGCCTACAACCCAGTTCTTACACACATAAATAAATAAATCTTTTTTTAAATGTGGGGAAATTGGGAACCCTTGTGCACCTTCTTTGGTGGTAATGGTGCGATGGAAAATAGTTTGGCAATGCCTCAAAAAATTAAATATAGAATTACCATATGATCTAGCAATTCTAGTCCTAGATATGTACTCAAGGATTCAAATAGATACTTGTCTATCAGTGTTTACAGCATTATCATTTACAATAAATGGAAGTAACCCAAATGTCTATCAAGAGATTAATGGATAAACAAAATGTGATACACATAAACAATGGAATATTACGCACTGTTAAAAAGGAATATAGTTGATGAACCCTGAAACATGCTAAGTCAAACACAAAAGTGCATATATTGTATAGTTCCACTTATATGAAATAACTAGAACAGGCAAATTCATAAAGACAGAATAGTGAAACAAGTTATTTATGGCTTGGAAGGAAGTGAGACTGGAAAGTGGCAAATGGGGAATTATTGCTTATATTGGATATAAAGTTTTATTCAGGATGGTGAAGAGTTCTAGAAATCGACAGTGGTGACAGCTACACAACACCATGAAATGTCTACAATGATACTGAATTGTACACTGTAGGAGATTAAAATGGAAAATACTATGTTAACTATGTCTTACCACATAAACAAAAAAATTGCTAAATAGACTATTACTGGCAGTTTGCTGACCCAAGGTATACAGCAATGAAAATGAACAAACTACTACCATAGGCGACATCATAGATTGTGATGAACATGTTATGTTCTGCAGAAAAAAACACACACAAAAGGAATCACACTGTATGATATCATTTATAAGGCCAAGATCAGACAGAATTGCTCTACATAACTATATATTAGGATGTACAAAATACCTTTGCAAAGATAGGGAGAGGAAAGGAAGGAACATGAGAAAGGCAGACTTCAGAGCAGCAGTCTATTTCCTGACCTGGGTAGGGTTTCACATTGCTAGACTCAGGTTTGAAAATACATTTAGCAATAGACTGTGCATTTATGTATATTTTAATAAAATTGTACTGACAGATCAAAGAGCAAATATATTTTAATAAAAAGAGAGTCCCAATATACTAAGAGAGAAAGGCTACAGATCAGTGTGTATATACCAGATTTTTTTTTTTTTTTTTGCCTCTAACAACATTTACTTATGTAAGACAAGGTTGAAGAATCATAATAATTGTCTCCTTAAAACAAGATTACCGGCCCTCCCTGGTGGCGCAGCGGCTTAAAGCACAGCACTGAGAATCTAAAGCCGCTTCCGCATGAGTTCGATTCCCGCCTGCCCGGGAGGAGACCACATGGCGTGGCAGACCTCTCCTGACCCGCCCGCTGCTCCCCTCAGCAGTGTACTTTGTTGATCTGCCTGTTCTGTTCCCCACTCTGTCTCTGGTGAAGCCTCTCACCGCCCCTGAGCCTCTGGCCTGTACCCCAGTTCTGTATGCACAAATAAATAAATCTTTAAAAAAAAAAAAAAAAACAAGATTACCAAGGATTTTCACTTTCTATATTTGTGTATTATTATAATTTGGGGGTATGGTATTATATAAGCAACAGAAGTATTGATAATATCCACTTTTAAATAGTACACTTTTAAATAGTACAGTAGACTAGCCCATTATCAACTCTACCTTTTCATTCAAATATATTGCATTTTCCTATGCAATTTCCTGGCAAGTAACAAATATGTATTTTTTAATTTATAGCAGACTGTAATTATGTAATCATTCTCAAAGGGGAACATGATGCATCAGATTAATATAATAGCCCCCCTTTTTAATTCTGTTATTAGAGTTCCTGATTACAGAAAGGATGCTACCTACTCTGTTTTGATGCTCACTACTCTGTTGTAATGTTCCTACTTATAGGTTTATTTCTACAGTAAAGACCTCCAATTGATTGAGAAG